AACCAGTGGGGGGCAGGGAATGGGGCATGGGGGGGCAGCAGCGGGGGGCCGGCTCGGGGGGCAGGGAATGGGATGTGGGGGGACAGTGGGGGGCTGGCCCGGGGGGCAAGGAATGGGACTGGGGGGGCAGCGGGGGGGCTGGCCTGGGGGGCAGGGAATGGGACGTGGGGGGGACAGCGAGGGGCTGGCTCGGGGGGCAGGAAATGGGACATCGGGGGGAGCAGTGGGGGGCCGGCACGGGGGGGGCAGGGAATGGGACATGGGGGGACAGCGCGGGGACAGCCCGGGGGGCAGGGAATGGGACTGGAGTGGCAGCGGGGGGGCCAGCCCGGGGCGCTGAGCCAAGGCATGGCCTTTCCTTGGCCAAAAGGAAGAACAGGAGGACTTGTGGCACCTTAGAGACTAACAAATTTATTAGAGCATAAGCTTTCGTGGACTACAGCCCACTTCTTCGGATGCATAACGAAGAGTGCCACAAGTCCTCCTGTTCTTCTTTTTGCGGATACAGACTAACACGGCTGCTACTCTGAAACCTTTCCTTGGCCAGTGACTGACCTGGGGACCGTCACCTGTCCCCCAGCCCCGCACTGAGGATTTTCTCATTTGTTTTTTGTAGGGTCTCCCTGGAAATCCCGGCCTGAAAGGGGACTCGGGAGACATGGGGCCTCAGGTGAGCTGGGCGACCCCAGGGGGCTCCCTGTGCCGTGGGGCAGGTGGGGCTGAGCAGCGCATGGCCCCGATGCCCAGCCGATGGGCACGGTGGGGACAGGGTTTGGGGCTAGTTCCTGGGGGGACCTGGGGGGGCCCAGCTGGGGGTTTCGAGTGGAGCCGTCAGCCCTTCTTTCTCCTGCAGGGTCCGCGGGGGATGCAGGGTCCAGTCGGCCCGCCGGGGAAAGGGGGCAAACGGGTGAGTGCTGCTGCCTGTGGGGACGAGCCGCTGGGGGCGCAGTCTGGGGGGTACCCTGGGGGGCTGCCCCCCTCCCGCCCGGCCTGGGGCATCTGACAATGCAGCGCCTGCCCCAGGGGCAGTAAAGCGACAGTTCCTGCCCCGGCACCTCTGCTCCGTGCCCCTCACGCCCCAGCCCGCCCTGTGGGCCCCCCGTGCCCACCCTGTGGGCCCCCCGTCCCTGTCCCAGCTCCTGCCCGTCGGTGCCGCGAGTCGCCCTGAGCCGGGGCCTGACATGGGTCAGCCCGGCAGTTCGGTGGGGCCCCGATCCCTCCCCGGCCCAGCGAAGGCGGCCTGGCGGGTCCCCCACGGCCCGGTCACGGCTCAGAGCAGCGGGGCCGTGCTCCTCCCCAGGGACGGCCCCCGGGTCCCGCCCGGCCATAGGGCCTGGGGGTAAACGTGTGACAGAACCAGGGAAGCCCATGGCCTTGCCAGCGGCACCCCCGGCCAGGGGCTCTGGCGGGGGCAGCCCCCCCCCCGGGGACTTTCCAGTGGGGGCAGGGGGATCCCCCTGGGGCCTCTGTCCTGCCAGCCCTCCCCTAAGGATGGGGCCCCTGGGGCCCGTCCCTTCGCTGGCGCAGACACGGTCCGGCTGGTCATTCACCAGGCCTGGTGGTGTGTGAGCTGGGTCCGGGGACCCCGCCGGGGGGACACGTCAGGGCTGAGTCCTGGAGTGGGGTCCACAGCCCTCCCAGCCCCCCAGAGCTCAGCCGAGCCAGGGCTTTGCTCCACATGCTCTGGTGGCCCGGCCCCCAGGCTGTGTCAGTCCCTGCCAACGTCCCAGATGCTCCCCCCACGCCCCCCAGCGTCCCCATGCTGGCCCCGAACTGCCCCCTCCAGCCGGTCTGGCCCGAGCGCGCCGGAGCCGGCCTCACACCCTTGACGTGTTTTGCAGGGTCGCTCTGGGGCGGACGGTGCCAGGGGCCTCCCGGGGGACACTGGACCCAAGGTCTGTGGCTGGATTGAGGTCCCGGGAGGGGGAGGTGGGGGTCAGGACTCCTGGGTTCTATCTCTAGCTCCGGGAGGGGGGGAGGGGGAGAGAAGGGGAGGGGGGGGTGCCCGGAGCTCTGGTTCTGTTCCCGGCCTTGCCCCAAACACCCCTGCTGTGTGGCTGGGTGAGCCCCTTCCCCTCTGGGGCCTCAGTTTCTCCCGACACGAAGAGGTGACGCTGCGTGTGACGGAGCAGGGAGCAGGGCAGATTTGACCTGGGAA